TTACCTCACTTGTGGGTCGGTTCTTGCGGTGTCCAATCGTGTGGACGAGGTTTGTGAAACACCTCTTAGCCGAACCACCAAGTGTTAGTCGACACAAGCAGGGGACGTAAGCGTGTTGGCAAGCACGTGAACCTCGGGAGAAAATCGATTGTCTCTCTTCTTTGTCATTCTCCGGTGATTGGCTATATATTCATCTTGTGATTGGTTCATCCCCTACACGTCGGTATAATCACTCTACTCACTCATTTACATTCTTGCAAACTAGTTGATACAAGCTCTTTAGTGTAATTAGAATTGAGAGCTTGCTTTATTATTTACATTCATCTAGTTGAGCTCTTTAGAGTAGCAAGGTTGAGAGCTCTTAGTGAGTAATTACATAGCTAGTTTGTGTGCCTAAGTATTCATTGCAACTAGAATTGTTGGATAGGTGGCTTGCAACCCTTGTAGAGCTAGAGCAAGTTTGCATTACGCTATTTGTCATACTAATCAAATTGCTCTAGTTGATTTGTAGATTTTTAAATAGGCTATTCACCCCCCCCTCTAGCCATATTAGGACCTTTCAACGCGGTCCATCACTCCAAAGCCTTCGACTTGCCCTTCACGCTTGCAACCGGTCCATCAAGCCAAGTCTTGTCTTGATCTTCTCCACCTTGATCACATGACTCAATGTCATGTCTCATGTGCAATAAGCTCCTTCATCATCACATGTGTGAGCTTTGCAACATCTCCAAGCCATTTTCACCTCCATGGCATATGTTGCTCATACACATGTACCTGTGGACTAATCACCTGTGTATCTCACATAAACACAATTAGTCCACCTAGGTTGTCACTCAATTACCAAAATCAACAAGGACCTTTCAGCTGGCCAACGGGGCAACGGCCACGGCCAGGAGCGGGCAGGTAGCAGCAACGTACTCGCATGGTGACTGTGAACCCAGGCCGAACAACTACAAATGGTGACGTGCACACGTTTTAAAGCAAAGCAATGGATGCCGATCATCTCAATCGAAGTTCAACCAATCTTACTAACTTAAAGTCGACACTACCAGCTAGCTAGCGGAGTGATCGTCATAACTCGAGAGCAACCGGAGAGGGAGATAAAAGGATGCCAACTTGGGTTCGTCGCTGGAGTGCCGGTTTACGAACAGAGCGCCAACAACATGGTTTACAGCGCGTTCCAACGAAGTTTGGGAATTTTTACGAGAGCAACATGACATCCAACACAACTTCGACCTATGCCATGCTCAAGCACCCACTTTGATGCAATCAACAATACCAAACACATGTAGTTAGTGTTTAAATATTTTTGTTGGAAATTAAATGTCAAAATAGCATTATCTTACTACTTTTCCATACTTAGAAAAGTTAAGGATTTCAGTTGGGACTAAGTAACCATTAACTATTTTGTTGCAATTTTTAATAGGTCTAAACCTTGTTAACTTCAACCAACAAATACTTCATGCAATAGTTCATACCTTATACTAACCCATAGGAGCAAAATATTTAAGCACCATTTAACTATTTTGCTCAATATAATTCACCAAAAATGGTATTTTAACAATAGTTCAAGCGTTTGCCGACTTAACGAAAAGAGCTTATCTTAACGTCAAATTTGATTTTTGAGCTCCCAAGAGCACTAGTTAACACTATTTATTTTGATTTTTCTCAACCACAAAAGTGAGTCACATAGGATTCGTTTACCATTTCACGTGCGTTATAAATTTTTAAAACCCAAAAACTTATTAGGCTAATCCCTCTCGGACCTAAATCTCAGTGCTAAGCAAGCTCGTAACACCAGGGGTGTTACAATTAAGCACGAAGAGGGTGAGGAAGGGGTGGCTTGAATCTGTTGAGCAACAAGTAGTGGATTTGCCGAGGGACTGCGAAAGACACGAGGGATAGTCATCTTCGATTGCTTGAAGTATAGAGCCAAGAAACCGATAGAGGAATACGTCTTATATTCACTAGAATTGTTCTGAAGACCGAAGGCCAAAGTAACTTTGGTTTCTTATGTCCTAGCCTCTGTTTTTGGGATTTGGTGCTCATTTCTCATTTCTTTTTTCTGCCCATCCTTGACTCCAAACTACATACCCTTCAGGCTCTAGTCCCAGATAAGTGGTGCTTTTGGGTTGTCAAAATTCAACCAATCAAACCTTTGACTTACAATTACTTGTTGCGTGCTAAGTTTAAAATGTTAAAATATTTTGGGGATCGTGCCTAAGCACGTGTTTCATCATAAGGAAAGAACTTACATGAAGCAACTATGAGAGAATCCTTATGGTGCAAATTATAACCACCGAGCAAGTGGCAAGTGACCTCGAATGGATCAGAGCAGCAAGAAAATCCTAACAAGTTGAACCAATGAGAAAAAAGAGACATCATCGCACCGGTTGCCTATAGTGAAACATAGCCATGGTGGCAAAGCATCCACCCAGAGAAGACAAGACGACCCTCTAGCAATAGCTATAGCGGCAAAGCATCAACTATAAATAACTAGTGAGAACAAGTGACATCCGGTAGAGAACAAGGCTAACGCAACGATGGCGGTAAAGCATTTGCCAGAAAAAGAGGCCAACGACCGCGGAGGCAAATCATCCGCCGAAGAAGAGTCCAACCACCACAGCGGCAAAGCATTCGCTAGACCAACGGCGGCAAAGCATCCGCCAGGAAAAAGAGACACAAGGGTAGCTGCATAGCATCTACCACGAAAGCCAAACGATGGTGGTAAAGCGTCCGCCAAAAAGTTCAACCCAAATCAGCACGCTGTAGGACAAACCACTACAAAGATGAAATTATGGCGCACATAGGCACAACAAATCCCCTCTACCAGACTAGTGACGAGGTAGGGATCAGGGATGGCGGCACCACCACACTAGGCGTCAGGAGTGTGCCCCAGCAGCCAAGGAGCCGAGGTGTGGCCAGATCTGGCCTTCTACGAGCCGACAGCCCACTAGCAGCACCCACGAACGAGCGAGGGCAGTGATGGCAGCGCTAGGGGGGAGGACCAATGACGGAAGGGAACAATGCGGGGGTGGGGCTAGGCAGGCCCCACGCAGCCACGGCTGTCAATGGCCACGACCACCAAGCTACCCAGGATGATGCCAATAGCCGAAGACACGACAACAGCCCAAGCGACGACCAAATCCGACGTGGGTCGAAGTAGATCAACCAGGGGTGTGGTCGGATCTAGCCTCCAACGGCGGGCAACGACCTCCACTAGCAGAGGAGAAAAGCTATCGGATTTGGAGCCGAGGAGGGGACTCAGAAGGAGATAGGGAGAGCGCGCATAGGCCGGTTGTCCAGCGCCACCGCCGGCCACCGCCATCGCCACTGGCCGGCTGGTCGACGGCGGTGGCGACCGCAAGGCAAGCGGTGGGAGGCGACCTGGCAGAGTCGAGAGGCGTCCACAATAGAGTGAAAAAGCCCAACATAAGCCACGTAAAGTAGTCCAAGAAAGTGAAAAAGTTATTTTTGAGCAGTTCATAGCAAGAGATACCCATATATATATATATATATATATATATATATATATATATATATATATATATATATATATATATATATATATATATATATATATATATATATATATATATATATATATATATATATATATATATATATATATATATATGTGTGTGTATTACAGGTTCCCACAAAGAAATTAAAAAAGTTAATCTCTCTATGTAGTCTCCACGCCTCGGCATGGGCCACGAGACATTGCGATACGCAACATGGCTGGCAGCGCACCCTACGGTGTGCTTGTCATTTCGTCGAACACGCAGCAAGCGTGACCCATGGTGGTGCGTGCCAATGATGCGGGATGAAATCACCGGCCTCCATGTAGGTGGAGGCACGAGAGGTAGTATACCCGACAGTGGGCTAGAAAGGTGGTTCCCCCACAACATCGCTTGTTAGGCACCGCTTGCTGCTCGGCACAGTCGGGAGCAGAAGCACAGCGTCTCGACATCAACAAACACACCGATGCGGAGGACACACCGATGCGGAGGATCCATAGGCCACCAACGTTCCCCTACCTACCTACGTTGGAGTGCATTCATCTAGGCTGTTGTACCACAAGCTCGAGCCACGCCATGGGTTTGCCGTCGTGGCTTGTCACCATCGCAGGAGTTGGCTCTCCTCAGGTAGGGACAGGATGCGCCAAGCCCCGTGCATGTGCGACCTGCTGCTTGAGCGCGCTAGCCGCAACGAAGATCAAGCATGCTTAGCTGGATCCACGAATTAAAACCTGTGATGACTGCTCTAGCATTAAGCACGAAGAGCGCATTTGAACGGTCGATATCGCGTGATGGTTGGATCCTACAGTTTCAGGGTAATGAGCGACATGGCTTAGTTGGGTGCCCGAGCTTAGACTCTGGATTCGATACGAATCGATGCTAATATAATAGATTGTCGAAAATTTCCATGCCTTTTGTCAAGGCATGATTCATGAGAGAAGAAAAGTGCCTTGCCCCTAACCACTCCGTGCGTGCCTCTGCCGTCTGTGACCCAAACCGTGCAGTGCATCCATCCATCCAAACTCTAGAGACCATCTTGATTTTTTGCGGGCGAGACATTTGGAGTTTTAGGCCCTCTCCATTCAGAAAACTTACATATTTCACCATTTGGTACTGGTAGCCAGTGTGGATTACTGAATTTGTCCTAGAGTATTTGATCCAGATGGTTACAAAATATAAAAACGTTTCGATTCCTTCAAAAAAAAAAATATATAAACGTTTCGAGATTAAATTAGCCAGATAGCACCAAATCAGAAGGTGCTCTGCTAATCCGTTTGTATAATCTCCAGAGTCCAGACCCGTTTCTTCCATTCCGTCCCTGTCCGGCTGTTCGAGCTTCCCAACAATCTCTGCGGAGTAGGTCACCGTCACCTGTCGAACTCACAAATCGCAAGCAGACGCCTCCCTTCTCCCTTCGTCAGCTGGTGGCCTGCTGCCTGCTGCTCCAGTGCCCCACACCCACTCCTCGCTCGAGGTCAAATGCCCCCCGCCGCCGCAGCCGTCCTGAAGCGGGCCCACCTCGCTGGCGTCCACTCGTCGGCCCGCCGCCGGCAGCCGGGGCCGGACCGCGTCTCGGTGCCTTCTCCGGCGATCCCGCCGCCGCGCGTTTCATGGCGTAGGTGCTCCACTCTGATCTCAAAACCTCTCCAATCTTATGCTGTTGTATCGTGTGAATGGATGGTGCCTGGAGTCTGTTTGGTGTACCAACTTCGGAAACTCCTCACTCGATGGTCTGAGTAGTTTCGTCTCCTTCTCTAATTGATTGATTGGTGATATCGCCGTTGACATAGCTTGGATTTTTGGGTTCAACAATCAGTATCTTATCTATCATAAGCTTCGCGGTGCCGGGATTGAAAATTTGTGATGTAGTCTTTCTGTTTCTTCTATACAAGCAGATCAGGGATCTGGAGTGGTTGCTAAGAGGCGCTTCTGGGCGAGTGCGAGTGGTTCCTTGGAGAAAGATAACATCGGGGAGGACGCGGTATCGCCTTCTCAGGTGCCGTTGCGATGCAGTTTCTTTATGCCTTAGCTAGTGAGCTTTTGTACTCGGGATGGTCACTATCTGCTTTTTACACTTTGGATTGAAGCTACAGGTAGTGGAGGAGAGTAAAGTAGATTTCTTGAAGATTTTAAAGAGTGCCAACTCCATTATTCCCCATATAGTGCTGGGGAGCACAATTCTCGCGCTGGTGTACCCTCCTTCGTTTACATGGTTCACAACCAGGTCTGTCATGCAAGTTTTTGCTCTTTATTAATGCAAATTCAGTTATCGATCTGTTAGCATGGAATCTACATCGTTGGATCAATGATCAGTTGAATTTATATTTCAGCTACACTTTAGCAGTATATGAAAGAGATGGTACACAGCCCTGTTCGGCTTCCTTTGGCTTTGGATACTTATCCCCCCCTGATGATAGTATCTTAAGATCATTTTCTTGGACAGCTACTTTTCTCGAACTTACTTCTTGATTGTTCTTCCGGTCCCATAAATAAGAAATATAGGGGAGTGCGATTTCTTAGAAGTATGCATATAATTACCTCAAAGGTATTTAAAATCATGTGTTGATCCTTACTAATCACCATCTTTTCGTTCTCTATATGGTAATGCTTTCTGATTAGGTCTCTGGACTATATGAATCCTCTTGGTTTATGCTCACTGATAAACTCCGATATCCTTTCTGTAATGATTAATCATTAAGGGTCTACCTCTCACAGTGTCATACACTTATTAGCTGGCGTTTATTAGATAGTTTCATGTTTGTGTCAGTAGCACTGTGTTTTATATTTGCACCTGTTATTTACATTTCCAGGGTGTGTGTTATATTGCAGGTATTATGCACCTGCTTTGGGGTTCTTGATGTTTGCTGTTGGTGTAAACTCAACCGTCAAGGATTTTGTTGAAGCCATAAAAAGGCCAGATGCTATTGGTGCGGGCTATATCGGACAGTTTTTCATCAAGCCTTTGTTGGGATTCCTTTTTGGCACTCTTGCGGTCGCAGTTCTTAATCTCCCAACTGCTCTAGGTAAGAAATTGATTCATGCATTTTTATATGCTTTAGAAGGAGCATTGCAGAATATGCGGTGAACTCTGCCGTGAACTTGTCTGTAGGCGCTGGTATCATGTTGGTTTCATGCGTGAGCGGAGCACAGCTTTCAAACTATGCAACTTTCCTGACAGATCCACATATGGCCCCTCTCAGCATTGTTATGACATCATTGTCAACAGCTACTGCAGTTTTTGTCACCCCAACATTATCTTACTTTCTTATTGGCCAGAAATTACCTGTAGATGTCAAAGGGATGATGTCCAGCATCGTTCAAATAGTTGTTGCTCCAATTGCTGCTGGATTGCTTCTGAATAGGTATTCCCTTCATTGCTTTGAACTGAAGTATAGGAGACAGCTGTGCTAGATTGGATAGTTCCCTTACTATATTTCTGATCTTTGGCTCCCATTTTGAGTAACTTCTGTTTTCAGGTCTAAATTCATGTTTCTTTATATTACGCAGATTCCTTCCAAGGCTCTGTGCAGCTATTCAGCCATTTCTCCCTCCGTTATCAGTGTTTGTCACTGCTCTGTGTGTTGGCTCACCATTGGCAATAAATATCAAGGCTGTTTTGTCGCCATTTGGATTAGCCATAGTGCTGCTCCTTTTTGCATTCCACACCTCATCTTTTGTAGCTGGTTATCATCTTGCTGGTACTTGGTTTCACAAGTCAGACGATGTAAAGGCACTACAAAGGACAATATCTTTTGAGACAGGTGACGTGCTCTCCTATTACATGAGGATATTTCTTTCTAATTTGTTTGTTGTCTCACCAGTATCTCTTGATGCAGGAATGCAAAGTAGCCTCCTTGCTCTTGCTTTAGCAAACAAGTTCTTCCCAGATCCACTAGTGGGTGTGCCTCCAGCTGTATCGGTATGTGAACTTTTACCATCCACTAGCCCCTTGCAGATTTATCTCTTACAAATGGAACTTTCCTGTCAATCTGACATTAATCTTGGGGACAGCTATGGATAGGTCTATACATTGTTCCACGGTATTAACATCTGTCCAGCAGATAAAAAAACTTATTACTTCGACCCAATTCACATGAAACTTCAACACAAACTCTGCAAAAGAGGGGTCGATTCTGTTTTGTCTGCGGAGAGATTAATGAGGATCTTACCATCGTTAACTTGATTCATTTCTGCAGGTTGTGTTGATGTCCTTAATGGGATTTGCTCTTGTCATGGTGTGGTCCAAGAAAACAGAAGCCTAATAACCCAGTTCAAATCGAAGCAACTCATCATTGTTTCTGACGTTGCCATAACCCGTGTTGACATTTAGTCAGGCTAACTGATCCCCATGGATAGCAATCTAGGAAGGTTCATCATTGGTCAGGATTGCTGCCAAATGATCATCGTGGCATACAATCTGGCTCGCACTATCTTTTACCAGAAGAACTTTTCGCTGAAAAGCTAGGCTAAAAAGTACCGCTGTTGATTTGCTTACGGGAGAAAAAATCATGTACCATAACTGATAGGTTCAAGCGAATAGGCCAACACCTCGTTTGACCAAGTGTCTAGTACTTCGATCAGCCACGTCAACAATCCATCCATCGACCCGAAAGTCTGCCAAGCTTCGCGGCCACGTAAGCAGAAACGGCACCTGGTACGACCGTGCAGCGCACTGCCTTGCAGGAAGACGGCGAGTGGTAGGGAGCATCGGCGGCAGATGAACTGACAAAAATAAATATGCAATCTCGAAATATGCGTGTATAATCATAGGAACATATGCAATATCCATATGAAACAATTACAACATAAGTCTGAAACACTTGAAAACATACACTTGAAACATACGTCTATAGCTATAGCAACATATGTAACGTCCAGAGGAAATAGTTAAAACACACGTCTGGAACATTTGAAAACATGCACTTGCAACATGTGTGTAGCTGTTATTGCAACATATGCAACATCTCAGAAACATAAGTCTGAAACGCCTGAAACAAACACAACGTCGTTGGCGGCAATGACCTACCTGGTGGGGAACAACAGTCACCAACAAGCTCGGTCAAGGGGACGTCGAGAGCAACGGCTCAGCGTACACCCAGGCGCAGGCGCAGGTGCGGCCTCCCTAGGCCACCCCAGGCGTAGGTGCTGGCCTCCCCTGCCTCCCCTTCCGCGATGCGCGAGGTGGATGGGGCCACGGTGCGGGATGGTGGCACAGAAGCAAAAAAATCTCGACGGACAAAGATGGGGAGAAAGGAGCAGAGGATAGACAAAAAGCCTTGCGAAGCACGTGTGGTACCTACAGGCGGGGGGCGACAGAGCCTAAAAATATCTTGTATCCCGAACGTTCTCGAGCGGACGGGAAACCCACCAATCTGTTGCATTGTTCCATGAGTGGACCAAGATGTTTTGCGTGGTCCACGACTCCACGGTTGTAAGGTCCGTCCGAACGGACGTCCTCACCAGAGCATTTTCGAATAGCGATACATGTAAAGGATGTATCCTAGAAAACACACTGATCTTATCAATACAATTAAGAAAACACAATGAGCTTATATGTAACACCCCTGGTGTTAGGCTTGCATAATTGCACTTCCATTTCATAAACATGAGCATCATTCATCCATTCATTAGCTTATATCACATGAAACATGTTATCGAAACATTGCAACATGCTGTATATTTCATGAGTGCTGTTTTAAATTATGAAATGAATAGTGTGCAGCACCCAAGTACAACATGTGCAACTCACTTTAGTGGAACATAGTTAGTACGATGCAACAAGATCATGAAACATGTGAAACATGGCTATGAAACAAAAGTAACATTTCAATTGTTTTTCATTGTTTCAGTGCATTCAGTGCTTGATTCTTGTGTGACCAATGTGTGGTATGGCTAAATATATTTTTTAACAACTTAGCTATACTTAGAAGGTCATTAGGAACACTGTTCATGTTGATCATTTTGCCTAATTAAGTTTTCGAGTCATGGTTTGACTAGTTTTGACTCCTGAACTCCTTGGTTTGACTGTTTAAAAAGTACAACTTAGAGTCTATGTATGTCTGAGCAACCTAAAACAAAGTTGTAGCAAATTTTATAAGGAACAAACTTTGTTTAGAAACCAAGTTATGAAAATGTGCACAACATGCTCAAAAAGGGACCACAAGTCAGAATTTGGGTTGGGTTCAACACTTAGAAATTTTCTAAGTGCAAAAACCGAGTTTTCAGTTTCATGAACTCAACTTTGGCCTGATTTTACTCTCTGTCCTTTGCGAATTAGACCTTGATCTCTAAATGAGTTTTGTAGCTGGTATGTAGGTGTACAACTTTTGTTTTGATTTCTCTCGCTAACGATCAACGGTTTAGGAGTTAATGGTCGGTGAAAACTCGCTGTCAGTCGCAGTTGGTTAGCTGAATCGGTAGCTACAGTGCCGACCGTTTCAGAACATCACCGCCGCGTGTATGCCGCGTGACACCGGTCGCCTGACCGCGCAGGCCACGCGCCGCGGCCGTCCTAGCACCGCTGGCCACGCCTTAAGCCCCCGCGCGCCTGCCAGACCCGCTCGCCCGTCCCTTTTTCACTTCCTTCGTCTCCTTCCTTCGTCTCCGCAGCGACCGCAGCAGCCGCAGCCGTGCCGAGCAGCTCCGTCGTAGCCTAGCTCACTCGCCGCCGTAAAAACACGACTGCCAGCCGGTCAGCAGCTCCGCCGTGTCCTCCTCTACCTCCGCCACCCCTTGGCTGCACCGATTGGGTCTTGGTAAGGACGCATTGTCCATTCCCGCCACCGCCTCCATGGGCGTGTCCTCGCCGGAGTTGAGGCCGCCGTGGTCGGGATAGCTGGAAACTCCCTCGTCCTCCTCTCTTTGCCTGGGTAGCACCGTAGCGATCCCCTGTAGCTCATGCCGTGCTCGGTTGAGGCAGCCATGGCTTGCCGTCGCTGGCATCTTGCGCTGGAGCTCGACCGAGCCGCCATCACTGTCGACGTGCCACCTCCGCTAGGTCTTAGGTCTCGCCGGTGGCACCAATCGAGTCGCCTCATCGCGGAGAGCACGCCGGTGCTTTCGGTGTCGCCGGAGGAGCCACCGTCGGCGAGTTTCGCCGTTGCCGCGCCGTCGAGTGAGCCATCCCCTGTTTTTCTTGTCGCTGACGCGTGGTCCCCGCTGACGTGTAGGTCTCGCTTGCCAGTGACCGTTGAGCAATAGGATAGTGCAAATATTCCAAGTTTCTATGCTGTTTTGTAATAATTGTATCTCTAGTTTTGTAGCTTCAAAAATTGTGAAATAAATTTGGTAGTGTTCCTTAGGAAGTCTAGTATTTAGGAAAAATATAGTCTTGATACTTACAATAGAAATTTGGAAGATTTAAATGGAAACTTGAAATGTGTTTTTGAATGCATGCAAACTTGTTTATTTTATATCTAGAGTTTCTGTGGTTCAAAAATTATGAAATTTTGTGGGTAAGCTATTCTTGCTTAGCAGAAGCTCTGGTAAAAATTTGAGAGTCATTGAATGTGTGGTTTTTGAGTTATAGATTTTCCTTTTATCATTGATTGATACTTGTGTAAATTTTTGTAAATTGTCTAGGAATCCTATGACCATGAAATTTTGTGGGGAGTATCCCAGTACCTTAAGGATGGTAGAAAAAATATGAAATCTGTTGCTTGACACTTTTTAACTAAAGTTTTCTATTTATGCCTTTTTAAACACTTATGTCTTGTCATTTTTGTGTAGGCTATTTTACTTATCAAAATGCAATGAAAATTTTATGGTAGTCTACTTAGAGTAGTACTATGCTACTGTAATTTTCTTAGATTTTTATGAGCACCAGAAATATATGTTGCGGTGTAGTCCTAGTTTAAAATGAAATAAAATAATCTTCTTTAATGCATGGTTTAGTTAATCATGGTTGCTTTGGTGTATCTTTAAAGCATTTTAACTTGTTGTGGTGATTTGGCATGTTAGTACAATGGTTGTCATAGTAGATAGTAGTACATGTTCTTGGATGATGTCGACTACCTTGTAGACGAGCTTTGATACTACTATATCCAATAAAGTTAAACATTTTCATCTACACTTCATGCATCATGATCATTATATGTCATCTCTCCGATGCACCTATGCATTAGCACTTATACATCTGCATCATACAAGATCGTAGGAGGAGTTGCTAGTAGCAGTTCAGGAAGAGTAGACCGAGACAGATCCATAAGAAGTCCAGGCACAGGAGGTGCCAGAGGAAGAGGAGCAAGGAGAGGACTTGCCCGAGTGCGTGGATCATCATCCTAGTTCGTTCGAACGAGGCAAGCCCTGGAGCATTCTAAGTCTCCTACTTTACAAAAGCAATTTTTTTCTATCTATATGAGTTATATATTGTTGCATTAAGTTGTAGGAGTTGATTGAAACCGTTGATGCATTTATTACTATCCTTGCCTACCTTATTACCTTTTACCCTGTTAGGTCAGGATCGAATAACTGCTTAGCCTTGCTTAGACCGGTAGCAATCGGTGATTTCCGGTCACCTACTTTTATAGGTGGTTACTGGAAGAAATTAGCTATGGAAAGAATGACATCCTGTAATTAACTATGTGTGATGAATAATTGGAGACCGGACGGAAAAAGTTGGAGGCAGCCAGATAAGGTTCTGGGGTGCAGTTAGTTTTCCGTCTGCGTCAATTAAGGACCGATCGTTGCTCGTCCCTCTTGTCATGTTGAACGCATGCCTCACATTTAGCTGGCCGAATAAAGTACCTTTCGACCGCGAAGCTAGTGACACCTTTTCGAGCCAGGATAAACTCGGATGCGTAGACTGGTGCTGAAGAGGGTATGACGGGGACGTGAAGAGTGAGCCCAAGGTGCGTCCTGGTAGTCGGGCGGTCCCTGGGTAATGCGGTCCATTACTGTTATCCCACGGCTACTTGGAAAGTGTCATTGGTGATCTAAGCGACCCTGACGGGGGAAGCATGGTTTGTGTGAGGAATAAATCACCAGCTGGTTAGGAATCAATTCGAATCGCCATCGCTCCTAGATAGTGAGCACTTGACTCGAGCTACGTCATCGTAGTAATTATTATGGAACAATGATGGTTATCTGGATGGTATGGACATGCTAAAGCTAAATTGGTAACTGGATGTTATTGGTTAATCAAGTGATTGCTATAGTACAGGTGCTTACCTAGATGAATAGGTTATAATAAGGATGATGCAAAGTATTTAAAATGATGTCTTCATGATAGCTTATGCTTTTCGCAAACAAGTCAGCTAGCCCA